TCAACCTGCTGGCCCTTCGGAATGAAGTCCCGGACAATGAGATCACCATTGCCACTTTGCCACTTGCAGCAAGGAGTGGAGTTCGATGCTTTTGCTGTACCTTCAAAAGGCATTGATGGACCATATCATGTTTCTCTTTGGAATGCTCCTGCACAACTCTATATCCATAGATAGCTGCGTGGTTCCAAATCGGATCAGAACAAGCCTCTTTCAGCATTGCCTTGAATTTGCTCAACGGGTTGTCATAGAAGGCATGAAAGACCTCTTTGGTTGTGAGCCTGGCATCACACTCCAGCACAATCTCACACACTGCAGCCAAGGTCATCGTAATAGAAGGTGTTGGCAGTGAAAAGTGCACTTCAGGCGTGATCACAACCAGATGGACCTGCCTCTTGTATTCCTGATTCAACGCCGAGTCAAAGACAATGACTTCAAAGGGCCCTGTCAAATTTGGCATCTTGGCAAGGGGGTCAGTCGGATCAATGATGGGCAGCAAAAGAGCACACGGTTCCTTTGGTACAATTTCCTTTGCATGTTGTAGATTGCCTTTGGAGGCGAAGGCAATGCCTCCCCTGTTCGTGGAGAGCTGCTGCTTTTGCACGAATGGAATCGAAGACTTGTCCTTACCGACAAAGGGATGATCCGACTGGAGTTGCAAATCCTCCCATTTGCTCTGCTTCATGACTTTTTTCTTACTGGCCCATGGATCGTCAAATTGCCACGGGTCGACTGCTGGTGCAGCTGGATCAGGTTGAGGTTGCCCTTCCATACCACCAAGAGAAACTGCTGAGCAAGGTTGCAACACCTGGAGGCCACCAACGAGGAGGAAGGCTCTTCTGAGATTTGCAGCAAACGTCCTGAGCATTGGAGGAGCTCCTGCGGTCTGCCACGCTCTGTTGGACTCCTCAAGGATAAGATCAAGAAACTGTCGTTTCTGGGCAGGAACATGAAAGTCAGGTGGCACCGCAAAGTCTGCAACAATCCACCTGTGGAGCAGCTCCCATCCGCACATGCCAGGGCGGGTTCTGGTAGTATCAACAATGATGATTGGTCTGAAGCCCAGCGGAACAATGAATTCTTCAGCGAAGTTCGTCCAGTATTGCTGAGCAGTGGCAGGTGCCTGAAGAATGACAACTCGGCAAGTATGTTCAACTGCATTGCAAATGACTTCAATGCCGACCCAGTGTCCTTCTCTCAGTGCAACGAAACGCTGGACCTGATCAGACATTGGCTTGACACCAGCAGCAATAATCGAAAGGTCATGATGCAAGACAGGTGGACAGAATGACTCTGGCAGGAAGTACGACATGAAGAATTCGATCTCATCACTGGTGGCCCATCCCGGATGTGTGCGATAGATGTTGGCCCTCATGTCCAGCCAGTCATCAGCAACGAAGAAGATTTCATTGATGTTGTACCCATGAGGGGGTCGTCCAGTAGCACGAAGGGCAAGGTCATTCGCTCTGCTGGGTGATTCCATGATCGCGACCAGGAAGGCATTGCGACTGGCCCTTGCAAACTGAAGCATGCGATCATCTGTCTGGGTATCTCGCCAAACAAAGTCAGCCTGGTCAATGATCTGCATAACATGTTCACTGTGTTGGGAGCGCTGCAGGCGTTGAGTTGTTCGGTGAGTGGTAGGCAGAAGTGGTGCTCCAGCTCTTGCATAGAATGTCCTGAGAGTATGCCACGGTGCCAGCTCCGAGTCCTCTGTTGTTCGGACCCACCTGAAGGCATTCGGGAGGACTCGAATCCGCATGACATTAATGAGTTCCAAAACCGCTGTACGTTGCCTCACCGTGAGTTGCTCAGGTGAGTGGTACAATACCCTCCATTGGCCTTCAAAGAAGCGAACCTCGACAAAGATCCAGTCAAAAAGCACCAAGATCGGAACCACGAAATGTTGAAAGCATCGTTGCAAATCCGCTGGTTCCACAGGAAAGCGGAATTGGGCTTCATTGTTAACCCAGACAGCAGGTGGACACCAACAAATCGAGGGCATCAAAAGCTGCAAAACATCACAATGGAAAACCATTTCATCAATTGCCAAAGCCCCGGGCTCAAGGTTGAACTGCAACAGACGAGCCATGACATGGTCATCATGTATATTGCAGCCAGGATCCTCCGCAAGGTGGTCCATACCACCAAGAGACACTTGAACCGTTCTTGCCGGACGGGCATCACACCAAAGAACATCTCCATTGATGAGCATCAAGGGCTGATCAGCACGACATTCAATAGCATTACGCATAGTGATAGCACATGCCTGTTCCAACTGAGCCGAGCATTGGATAGGAGTCAGGTTGCGAGGCATGCTGCAAATCTTCAACCATTTGAGATCAGTTCCACCAGCAAGGAGGATCCACTTTTGAGAACTCACAGGCTCATAGGGACCTTGAATTGCCAAAAGAACTTGAACACCCAACAGGGTTCTGCACGCCTCTTGGTTGACCTTGACAAAATGCATACACCGATCTCCACACTGAAAGGTCGGGATGGAGCCAAGACGATCAACATTGGCATGCTGGACCCAATTGTACGAACCATCTTGATGAAGCAGGAGCACTCTGGCAGACAACCTCGGTTGTTGATCCTGGCATAAATGCTCAATGACATGGAGGAAGCCGTTAAAATGCGCATCCAACAAGCAGTCAATCTCAACATCGTCTTCTTGTTCTCCCCACTGTTGAGTGGGAGAGACGATGGGATCCTCACTATGTCCAAGGCCTGCACGATGAACAACAAGATTCCCAAGGACAAAGGAGCCACACTTCAAGGTGACATGGCCAACTGGCAGCTGAGCCCAGGTCAAATCGTTCGGCAGGTCATGTCCATCACTATCAAGCACAAGGAGATGCATATGCGAAGGAGCCAGTTCTAAAGCCTGAAGAAGATCAGAGAGAACATTTGACTCCTCATTCTTGTTGATGGGCACAAGCGTAAGATCATCACAGAAGCGCAGCAAAGTGCATCCCGCCAACCACGGTTGCCAAGTAACAAGACTTGGAATGGCCTTCCCAACAACATCTGCAATAGGTTGCAGAACATACATCCCATCAACCACTCGTACGATCGCATTGTCTGTAGTGAGGCGCTCCTCCCAGCATTGCATCACAAGAGCCAGCTTAGGAATTATTTCTCCAGAGACTCCTTCCATGGCAAAGAGAACAGCAACCAGGGCATGCAGTTGCGATATTGCATTACCCAATTGATGGAATGCTGCACGCAAATTCCCAGGCAACGCTAAGGTCGAGGTAGTCCCAAAGAGCGAAGCAAACACAAATGGATCAATAAAGCGGAACTCACCATTCTCCTGGATGAGGGTAGCAAAGATTCCTTTGGATTGCACATGTTCTGCCTGAAGATGATGCTGCGCAGTGTACGAGGCACACAGCGTGGGCAAGTACTCCCCACTTTGCAGCGTTCTTTGGAGCAACACTTGGAGAGTGGAGGCTCCCTCAAGCACTCGTGCCTTCTTTGCAGGAGGTAGGAAGTCCTTGCAGCCATAGATCTGCCTGAGAGCTTCATCCAGTGTAAGGTCATCAACCAGCGATCGAGGTAGGGCAAAGCAATGCTTTTGGTCATTCCACAACGCTCGACGGTTAGTGGCACAGAGAAGACGTTCAGCAGATTTATGGCCACCCACGTCCTGCCTAGCCCAAACTGCCAGCCATCGTGTTCTGTGATTGCCTGTGAGCTGATGCATAGCAACATCTTGAGACCACAAACGCTGATAACCAGCAAGCTGCAAAGCCGCCGAGAGGACACGCCAATGAGGATGGGCCTCTATACCATCCGAACATTCGAAAAGTGCCAAAATTGGTCGAACTCTGGCCACATGCACAATAGCATCCAAGAAACAGAAGCCTTCATCAGCAGCCAGGCCAGAGTTTTTGCCACCTCTACTCCAACTAGGGCATGGCGGAGACAATGTCATAAGAAGGTTGGATTTGCTCGAGGTGGCTCTCAGCACTGTGACATCATTGATATCAGCCAGAATACCAACATACGGCCCGGTAGGGTTGAAGTCCACTTGAATAGGACAAGTCAGGACCTCTTGCCTGTGATTATAGCTCCACGTCTTCATCACTTCTGGGCACCAGTCAACCGAGACATGAGAGGCAAATGCAAAGCCTAAGTTGGCATTTTGAAGCCACCACATCGCTCGCAGCCAGCCTTCATAGGCACCACAAAAGAGGTGGGAGACTTGCCATGCCAGACTGCTATGGTAGGCAGGGAGGTTCCACACAGGCACGCTTTCATCAGCCACTATGCATGCATCATCATGTCTTTGATGGGGCTTGACCACCAAACCAATCCACATACCTGGAGAGAGATCCACTTTACCATGTTCAGCAGTACACAGCAAATCGAAGGTAGGCCAACCGTGATTCAAAGAATCATCCTTTTGCAGCAACATAGAGGTACGACGCACCCTAGTCCGAGAAGGCGAACCCGGTAGCATCTCAAGCACCTCCCCAAAGAGGACCCATTCGTCTTCAGCACTGCCACATACACCGGTTTGGGCAATGCCACGAAGTGCTTGAGCAACCGTGAGTGCAAGCGTCGAAGGCATCCCCACAGTCGACCATTGAATGAGCCCCTCCACTGCATTTTCTCCAACGGGTCTCTTCGTTTCCTTGTCTCCATGGCAATCCCAGTGCTTGGTGAGCACCAGGTCAGTGGACGTCCCACCCTCGCGAGGCGGAGGCGAGCGGCAGGACCCCGGCCCTTGCGGGGGGGCGTAAGCCAAAAGGTTTTGGGCCTAGATGGCTGGGGGGGAGCCTCCTTGAAGAAGCGCTCGCACTGATGATTTGGTTCCTAGATTTCAAGGGAAACTTAACCTTCAAACCTCCTTCCAACGCTGCAGCATTTGAGCTGAGAAGCTGAAGTGGCATTGGATTTGCAACATGTGAACTGCCACAAGATGCCGCAATGTTCTTGTTCTACTCACTACTTACTACTTCTTGTCGCTTTCTCTATTGGCGATCTGGGTGCTCCTTGTCAGGATGATCCAAGCCAAGGAGATTCACAGATTCACCAGCTGCCAATTTCTCAGCATTGGCCGCCAGAAAGTCCTGCACTCTGTTCCCTCTCTTGAACAAATTTGTTTATGTATTAAAAGATGGGGGTTGCGTTCAAGGGGGCCCACGTCAAGACCCCCAGGAATCATTTTAAATGATTCTGGGGGGGTGTGAGGGGGGTTGGTGATATTGATTGTGACCGTCATCCACGGTCAGAATCATTTCCTGAAATCTGCTGACATTTCCTGACATCTGAACTCTGTACCCAAAGTATTATTGGTATTATTATGTTTAGGTATTATTATGTATTATTGTCGGTGTCCAATGTTTTCCCACTGGGTGTCTAAGAATGTGGTGTTATGTGATTTTATATGGAAATGACTGGTGTGGAAATGATTCCAGGGGGGGTGACATCAGAATTGGGGTGTTTTTTTGATGTTCTTTGAGGGTAGGGGAGTGGTGGTAGATCTTTAGATGTTTTTTAATGTTTTTTTACAGGAACCCCCAGAATATCCAAGAATGCCCAGTCTGGGAAATGGACATGGGATCTTTCATGGGTAGTGGTGCCTGGAATGGTAATGTGATGAGATATGTGGACATGACAGGTGTGTGGAAATGATTCCAGGGGGGTTGACATCAGAATGGGGTGTAAGGGTAAATTAGAGGAAACTCCCATACCCAATCTGGGCAAGGGCAATGGAGCTGGGAATTGCAATTTGTTCCACGATTCCACCATGTCATTCTATTTCCATAGGTATTATTATGTATTGTTGTCGGTGTCCAATGTTTCCCCGCTGGGTGTCTAAGAATGTGGTGAGTTATGTGTTTTCATATGGAAATGACTGGTGTGGAAATGATTCCAGGGGGGGTTGACATCAGAATTGGGGTGGTTTCTTTCTTGCCAAAGCAAGAACCCACATGGCAAAACTGAATAGGTTTCGGAGGCTCAGCCATCAGTTGGTACAAGCGCACACGTTGAAAAAAATGAAATATTGAAGCAATATGCGTTCCCACCTTTTGCATTGGTGCAGAATCTGTTTTAATACTGTTTGTTGTATTTGATGGACTCTCCAATAGAAATCTGTATGCTTGAGACCGAGGCGAATGCAATTATGACATTGCAACATGTGAAAATGATTCTGGTACATCAGTCACATCAACTTGAAAATTATTCTCAGGGGGGGTTGACACCCGCCATGAACCCCCCTGTCAAAAAATGATTCCAGAGAATGATTCTATATAAATGATCCCGCCCGTCGACGTACCCCCTGGAATCATTATTTAGCGCGACCCCCATATTAAAAGTGTCAAACGCACACTCTTTTTCACCTTGCCATTTTCCTGCACTGCAAAACACACTGACACGAACAGGCCAGACCTCAAAGCGCAGTCCTCGAAGGAGAAAGGCTCCGGAACCTCTATCTCCTTTTCCTGATTTACCTCAATACATTCGGAAGGCACTGTCGAGCATGTTTCACGTATGCAAAGCATGCCACAAAAATAATGGTGGATCCGAGCCACTGGTCTGTCCTCCTCCCTGAACTCTTTTGCCGACGCACCTGCTGCCTCCCAGGCTTTATATGCCTGGAGCAAAGAACGCCCTTTCAACTGTCCGACTGTCCCCATTACCATTCTCCTAAGGCCTAGAGATATGCTTTCCTTTCAGACTTGATGTGCGGCGAAGTAAGTCTTGGCTGAACACGCAAGCAACAATTGCCGCTTGCCATCTTCTATCATGCCTCGATAACAGGTGGGAGGTCCTTTCCCAGGTCATTGCAGCGGAAGAATTTCTCCCAGCGGACCTTCTTGCCTTTGTCAAGCAACATACAGTGCAACGCACAGCTCTTTTGACGATAGATTGCATTGACTATCATAGATTGCATTGAGCCAGCGTGCAGGTATTGAAGTCTTCATAGAAGATCAAGCCATCCATCTCCTCTAAACACTAAACAGTATCCGACTCGAGCAGACTCGAAAGATAATACATGATAATTATACAAATGCAAGTTAGTTAATGCAGTTATGTTATGTACAGTATACGGAATAGAGTACAAAATGATTCGGAAAAGAACGCCTTGCCCTCTCGTCGCCGCTCCACCACCAAGCCGAAGGAGCCTGCCTTCACAAGCTTTCAATTCCAGGACCAGGAATCTCAATCTGTTATGCTTAGAAGCACAAACAGGGACGCTACCAGGAGCAAAGGGCCACGCTACTAGGGGCTCCTGGCACTAGGAGCAAGGACGCTACTAGGAGCAAAGTGCTTAGAAGCATTCACAGTACCACACCTCGGGTCTTTGTGGTGAATGTGGTATGCGAGAAGGTAGGCAAAACATCTGGCCCTGCTTGATCTTCACCTCAAGACTTAGAGTCTGCATTTTTTTAGGCACGAATCAAATTACGAAACTGTCATTGATTTTTAAAACTGAAAACATGAACCCTTGCGGAAGCTACCTTGGTTTCACGGCGCTTTGACAGTTCCTTTTTGGCAATACTTTTAGTCCTCTTTCATCCTTTATCGCTTCTTTTGCCTTATGTTCTTCCGTTTGTCAGCTTTCGAGTTCCTCACAAGCTTTCTTTCGCCATTCTGGATCGTCGGCAACTCCATGTTGCCCTTGAGCTGAAAAAAGAATTCGCTGCCTCTTCAGCTTCGGTTTAATTGGCTGATCGAACGGCGAATGCGGTTGTGTTTGGACAAACAACCGAGCCTTCCTCCAAATGAAAGTCCTTGCCTAGTCAGACGAATGAAGTCTAAGCAGCATTATTAGAGGCTCACTTGTCAACTTACTCGAGAATCACATTAGTGCAGAGAAGAGTCGAGTGTTCGGGCCACCAACAAACCTGGGTCTGAATAAATCCTGTTTAAGGTCTAACGGTCTAACGTGTTTTCAGTATTAAACTATATACTTCTAAGTTAAAGTACATGATGTCGGCTATTAGTACTTGCGCCATCTATCCCCCAGGTTTTCAACGGTTGAGGTACATGCAAAACCCATACTATAGATGTCGCAAGGCTACATGTCAAAATCGCTATATACATGTCCTGCATTCCTGTAGTATCCTGTAGTTCTGTCTGAGCTTGTTAGTGGGCTTTCTCAGTCTGGGAGAGGGCTTTTCTGTACTCCATGTACTCCAGTACTGTCTGGCCTTGTGAGTTGGCTCTTTCTCAGTCTTTCAATCCCACCCCCTTTCCTGCACACTGGTATAATCTGGGCTTGTTAGGGCTTTCTCAGTCTTGGGAGAGGCTTGCGCCATCCATTCAGGGTTTTGCAGTTTTGCTCCGGATTTTTTAAAGTCTCTTCTGTAGAGCATCTTTACAAAATTCACACTCCACCACAGGCGTGTCTACCTCCACAGCCTTTATAGATGGCGCAAGGCCACAGTGAAAAAGGGATTTCATCGGGGTTTTTTGGCGATATTTCCCGCCGTCTATCCTGAAATCTCCCAAGCAGCCCGTGCCATTTACTTTTAACCCGGTGTAAATTATATAATGACGTAATGAAACTTAGAACGATTTTTTCAAAAAAAGGAGGTGGTATTTTAGAACACACCTTGCAAGGGTATTTAACATGAAAAAAACAAGAGAATCGTATGGTAGAACATAGCTCTTAGACACATCCATGATAGTGTTACCAAATGTTCTAAGTATTTACCAGATGTTCTAAGAGTATGTTCTAAATTACTGTTCCTTCCAGGGCCTCCCCCTCTCCCAGGTCCTTTTTCTCCGTCTCCCCCCTTCCAAGCTCTATATATATGTATATATACATGCACCCCTTATGTATACATCTTCATGTGTGGATGGTTGTGGTGCATGTTCTATGTTCTTTGTTCTGCAGCTGAACAGCTGATTGAATGTGTGTTTTTTGGCATGATGGTCAAAGTGTCCAACACCACATGGCACAGCGACATCACCTTTCCAAAGCTTTAGTGGTTAGTCTAATGAAGAATCACTATTTTAAAAAGTGTTTGTAAAGGGAAAAGGAAGAACCCTTTGATCTGGAGGCTTTTTCAATTTTTGATACGAGTTTAATTTTAAAAAATATACACAATCTTCCTGGGTGACTTTTCGGTTTTGAAGCTCTTCCCAGGTTTCCGCACAAAATCTGCACTTCAAGCTTCACAAAGCGCTGCGCCTGCCAGGAAATATGAATTTCATAAATATATAATCATGAAATCACTGCTCATTGCACGCTCGTTGCTTCTTATTCAACCTTTCACTGCTTGCCGGTCTCAAGTCTGTGTTGTGGTGCGGCTGTGCTGATGAGTCGTCAATGGATGCTCCCAAGCTACGGCGAAGAGAAAGCTGCAGCGCATCCAGAGAACAAAAAGCAGAGCGCTCTGCAAATCCCGGGTGGCCCGTGGGGGGGGCGTGACAGCTGCGTCATTCCCAGAGTTTTCATGAAGGACATGAAATCACTGCTGATTGCACGCTCGTTGCTTCTTTTTCAACCTTTCACTGCTTGCCGGTCTCAAGTCTGTGTTGTGGTGCGGCTGTGCTCATGAGTCGTCAATGGATGCTCCCAAGCTACGGCAAAGAGAAAGCTGCAGCACATCCAGAGAACAAAAAGCAGAGCGCTCTCCAAATCCACATCTAGAAGAGGCCAGCCGCGACTAGTCACGTCGTGGCGCGCAGCACGCTCTGTTGCGGTCGCATCAGTGAAGGTCTCGGGACTGCAGGAGGAATTGAAGTTGGTGAGGAAAAAGGGCTGCAGAAGCTTGAACATTCTTTTTGGCTACTTCCGGCAGAGAGGCTAATGAAAGACTAGCTGTTACTTCCTGCAAATAGTGTTGCAAAGTCTCCATACCAGTAGGACAGTACATCCCCAAAAGTTGTACAACGTACACTTTTTTTGGTACACATGGGGCGTGGCGCTTTGAAGGGCATCATTTTTTGTACATCAGGGCGGTTGGCCCATTCCCATGTGTTGTTGATCAAAAGGTATGGCTCCACTACCACTAAAGTTGCTCAAAGCAAGGCCGAGAACCATCGACAAATCTCAGTCTGCTCAGGCGTTGTGACCTTTCAGATCACAAAACCATGTAGGAGCTATCATCTCAACACGGTCTCGAGAGAGGTCCAACGGACAATGCTCGCAAACAATGAATCAAGTGCAGCGTCGCGCGTGAAGCAAGCGGCTTTTCAGTCTTGAGCCAGTCATGTACATACATGAGAGGTGAGACAGGCCAACTAACAAGACCGTATCTCGGAGGTTTCGAGTATGTTCTTGTTGATTGTGAGTGGTGTTGCGATGTACGCGTCCATGGCGCTGTGCGCACACACCCGGTATAGACACGGCAATCGCGCATCAATATGTGAAAAGGTTTGGTACAAAACACGTCGCCCCGTTTTTTGGTCGTGAGGGTTGGAGGGTAAAGGGCGCTGCGCACACAACGGCAACTTTTTCAAGGCTCTACCAAAGAAACGTTGAGTTGAATCATCGCTCTCTGGAGCACCCGCTTGCTGAGAGTCGCCGCGTGACAAGCTTGTTTTCCGATGGAACAGATTCTACCGATGTAGTCCTCACAGTTCCAACACGAGTAGAACCTCGGCGACAAACGGCTTCCGGCCTTGAGTCTGCAAAGCATCTCGCAGTGCACACTGTGCGTTTTGGGTCTCCCCTTATATCGGGGGGCCACGGGCACTTTTCACTGGCCAGTCGGGTAAATGCTTGGAGAAACAACATTCCGAGGTCAATGATCTTTGACACCTCAATCTCTGAAACGAACATCCCGGCCCTGTCAAGTGACAGGCCGAATTCATGGCCACTCCAGGCCAGCACCGCCTGGCACTCAAGTTCAGTAACACCACAGTCCACGTTGTCCTTCAGGCGGCTTGCCAGATAGGCCATCCTCAGAGCACACATTCCCACGCGAATCAGCTTGAAGGGTTTGAGCAAAACTAAGTATATTGGCATGAACACCAAGTTTAAGTTTGAAAAGTGTCCATGTTTGCGTGCAAGGGGCAGAACTCTGTTTGAAAACCCATGGTTTGCGCTCGCGGGAAAGTCATACGACACCGCATCAACGCCAAGCTTACTCAAACCTAGGCTTACACTGGGAATTGAAAATATGTTCGATAAACTTGGCAACGTTTTTCTAGAAAGTTCCACGCCACAGGCTCAAATAAACAATGCCCAGGCACTCCATTCATCTATGTTTGAAGGAGACAACTTATGCCTTCGGCACCAGTCTCTCGCGTCAAGAGACGCCGCGTGCAGCCGATCGTCCCAAGTCTCAAACTCTTGGAACCATGGAGAAAACTCCACCAAATCCATCAGCAAGCCACCAGCAGCATCCCGCACTGTTCCTAACCAAAACGAATGGAGCAAGTCTGGGACTTCCATTGATGGGTCCCAACCCCATAAGCCACGCAGTGCGATGTTTGGCCCACAACCTATAAAGGCCGTGTCGATTGAACGGCTGAACCCCCAGAACGTGTTTAACAAAATCTGTTTTGCAAAAGACACAGATCTAACAATTTAATACTGAAACCGGTTTTCCATAAAAAAGAATGCAAGACATTCTTAGGGGCTGCTTTGGGCTGCAAGCTCCAAGTCTTCCCGTTTGTTGAACCTCTCAGTCATGTCTATCCATGGCTTATCGGGACTGCTCCCACATAAGCACCTGCGACAAATTTCTCCTCCGCCACCAAGACCCTTTTTGGACCGGTTGTAGTTTCGGGCTTCCACCAGCCACTCACGTTTCCACTTCCAGTCACCTTTGCCACACATGTAGACAAGTTTCAACGGATGCACACTACTCCCCGGCGCACACAGGTTCAATGTCCTGGCGGAAGCGGTTACTTAGGAGAAGGAGACGCCCTCACAACACATTCCCTCATCACCCACCAAAAACAATCAAACATAGTCCTGACAAATTCCCTTTGCAAGGCTTCTAGGGTAATGTTCCGTCCATCTTCAGCGTACGCATAAGAAGTGGAGCGGATAACCTCAGCGATGTTTATGCTACATTTATATGGAACTCCCCTTTTTTAGAAGGTTTGGAAGCCTGAAAAGCAAAATTCAACCCTACTACAGGGCTCAATCCCAGCAGCTGCAAATGGGAATCTGCAGTGTGTTGACCGTGCCTTCACCCCTATCGAGCTCCAACTCAAAACCAATAGGCTTTTATCCTTTTTTCCTTGGCCCTCGTCTCCGTGACACGTTATGCCGATGGAGCTGGCCCTCTCGCATGGCGGACACTGCTGGATCGGATGAGACCTCGGATGGGAAGGAGAAACTTGACAGTGGGACCGTGGGGGTGGGCGAGGTGCACCATGCATGGATTGTTCAAGTTGGAAAGGCGAGCGGCGACCCCCAAGGCTCAGATTTAATGTTTTCCCAGAAGTCGAGCCAATTCAAATCTCCCGTCCTGGGTGTGAATGGGTAGACTGATCATTACCACATGGTTGTTCAGAATCATTGAAAGTTACCTAACAACATAAGACGTGCATGTCACATGTTTTAAATGGAACAAGAATCAGCAGGTGAGTCGCACCAGCTTCAACAATGGCGTCCAACATAGCTCGGGGGCTCATGATAGGCCAACGTTGGAACACGGTTGCAGGTGGCGCCGAGCCCTGCTTCTTGATACCACCATGTTTTCCTTTCCCTTTCTGTTTTCCTTTTCCTTTCCCCCTACCTTTGGCTTTCCGAGACCGCTGCTTTTTCTTGCGGTGGCGAATCTGGTGAGGATCTTTGATAGGGATCGTGACATAAGAGAGCGGGCATCGGATGATCGCCTGCACCGCAGGCGATCCACCCCCCAACCCCGGGACATGGTTCGAAACAGTTTCTTAAGTCTTAATTGGTGGACTCGGATCAGGGGGCGCCTCATTTGAT